GTATATACAGTATATCTAGGTATATACAGTATATCAAGATAAATAAGGATTAAGTTACAAGTGCACATGTATTGCACACAATGAAAAACAAAATAAAATAAAAATAAGAAATAAAAAATAAAAAGATAAAAAAATACAAGGTAGTAGCACAGAGGTTTGAAGTGACATATGTACAATCCGGATGGCTTATATACAGGTGGATTTACTTTAACATTAAAGTGTAGTAGGTGAGGAGCAACGGTTAACAAGATTAATCTTCTTCCTGTTTGTTCTGAAATCTACAATCATCGCCCTTTTTTTGTTGAAATTCAGGATCCAATATTTGTTTTTAATTTTAACTAAGGGATTAACCAGCTCTCTAGACTCAGCTTCTTGTCCAGCTTTGACGCACCCAATGACTGCAGAGTAATCCAAATATTTATGCAGATGACAGGACGACTCTGTCTGATGCTGGAAGTCCAAGGTAAGATTTACATCAATAGGTCTGATGCTGTTTTCTTAAAGATGAAACCAGAAGAACTGGCTTCAATAACAAAAGTCAAGTCATATTTAAAGGTCAAGTCGGACTTGCTAAATTTGTCTTTCCTCCCATGGAAGGAAAACCTCCCATTCTACCCTCTTGGGCCAAAATAAATGTAATTAAGATGAATATTCTTCCAAGATCTACCTTCCTTTTCCAAATGCTTCCTTGATTTTTTTTGTATTGTATTTTCTTTTAGTTGTTTGTTAATTATTTAGATTTTTTTGGACCCATTATTATTACCTCAAATTACTCCAAGGACTAATGAAGCTTGAAAAAATGAGGGGGTCTTAGATTACCCATATTATTTCTGAACAGCTTATTTAGGGAACGTAGTGTCATGGTTAATAAAGAGAAAGGACGGGTCCAGACTGAACTAAAGATATTTGCACGTCAGATTGTCACTTCTTTTCTATTTGTAAATCATTTTGAGGAAATTAAATATATAGACATTTTTTTGCATAATCAATACCTGAAAACTTGGAAAGACTGTAGGAAAAAAAGTGGAATCACTGTGTGTACTTCAATATACTCGCCCTTTTTTTTTAAACCTAGACCTAAACAATCAAATCACAAATAATAATGTTCATGTATTCTTATTTACAATGATTCAAAGATCTGTTAAATTAAAATAGATGAAAATTGTTTATTGATTTAAGCTACTGAAGGTTCTCAGTTATCCAGGTCATAGTCATTCCAAAAAAGAAAATGAAAAACAATCCACTGGACTTTGTTTTCAAGTTTGAAGATATTTTGCTTCCCATCCAGGAAGCTTTTTCAATTCAAATTGTCAGTATTTGCGTTGAGTTTAAGGTTTTATACATTAGCCCAAAAAAGCCTTTTTGTAAACATGCAAACTGGAATAGACGAAGGGGTCCACCCATTTGGAATAAGTGGGAATGGCAATTTATTGATTTAAGCTTAAAAATTGATATCTCTAATGAACACGTTTTGAAATCACAAATTCACAGTTTTACCAATTCCTCAAGAAAAATATACTGTGATTTAAGGTATCAGAAGAGGAGGATACTCTGTTATTCTTTAACACAATTAAAGGGAAAATTAGTGAATTTTATAATATACTGACAATCTTCATTCCAAGTATTAAAAACAATTTTGGGAGAAGGAGATAGGAATGAGATTGGTCTGGAATGTGGTTTGTTTGTCAGGTGGTCTTTGATCCATTGTTGATGCCCCTACCTGAGCCTTCTGGACTTTCTCACAATGTTAAATCCACTGGAGAAAACTGTGGGGCGTGATACTAATAGCTCCTTGTTTGGTTGCTAAGGTGGACCAACAGGAAGAAACTGTACATAACCTATCATAGAGTGCTATGAATGAAAGTAAAAAAAAATATACAAAAAAAATTTAATATGTATATATAAAACTGTTTTCTCACCCCTCGTGGGGTGGTAT